TGCTCACGGACCAGAATCAACCAGCCCTGGCTGAGGAGCATAGTGTAACAGCAGAGTACTTGCCTGGCATGTGCCTGTGTGTCCTGAAACCATGGTAGTAGGACAGTCAGGAAGTCAGAAACCTGAATGGAGGTCCTACCTCTTGGGAGGCAAGGGGGTCTGGCAGTGAATTTTGTTTTCCATGGTAAGTTCCAGCACCCAGCAAAGGCTGACAGCGCTCAGCGAAGGCTGGGTGTTCAATGGCTTTTCTTTCACCAGGTCACAAGGCAGTGAGATGGAGACAGGACATGCTCTGAAGCTGGTGATTTGGGTCCTCAGCATCCCTGTAGCCCCTTGCATGAGGCTTTAGCTATGTGGCATCATTTTCTTGTGCCTCAGTTTCCCCACCCATGAAAGCGGGTATACTAGGTTATCACTGAGTGGTTATGGGGATTAGGTATACCTGAAGGCAGGCTCCTGTGCAGTGTTTGGTGTGGAAAATACCCTAAGATGCTGTCACAGAGAATGGACAGTGTGTGGCTCTGACATACTAGTTCACAGCGATCCTACAGGCCCCACCTTCCCCCTAGAAGGGGACAAGGCAGAGCATAGTCCTTTAACTGTGTTTATTGCTGCAGTGCTGTACCCAGAGCCCTGAACTTGTGCCACAAGGACATGAAATGGAGAATCCTTCCAGGGTAGCTGATGGTCACCTGGACCCTTACTTCTCCACAGTAGGACTCCCTGGGTAGAGGCAGAGTTGCAGAGGTTTCACAGAGCCCTGGTTATAGGCTGAACATGCGGATGCCTTTTTAGAGTAGAGAATTTCTACTCTAGAGACCACTGAGGGCTTTAGTGAGGAGGAGCACAGACAGGCTGTCCTGCCAGGAGGGGTGAGGCTGGCTGGGAGGGTGGTGCTAGAGGGGAGGTAGGCTACATGTCCTTCTTCCCTTCCTGCCAGTTAGGACATGGTACCTTTGTGTCAGTTCCCCTGCCGAGGAAAGAGCACTGGGGACAGCAGAGTTACCCACTAGGCATGATTATTCCATCCCAGGTCTATTGGATCCACTGAATTCTGGCTCTGTTAGCTTAGCCTATGTCCTAATGTCTCTGAGCCTCAGTGTCCACACCTGGAACTCAGAACCTACCAAGGGTGAGGAGTCCAGGTAAATGGTATTCAGGTAGTTAGCACTGAGAACATACAGCTAAAGGTCATTACCTCATGTGTCTGCTGGCTGGCCTCTGTCCCCCTTTGGCCTAAGGCCAAGGCATGCATTTCCTTTCTCTTTCTAATATCCAGGACAGCAGACAGAATGGACCTTTGACCCCAGCAGTGGCATCTGGAGGACTTCCTCTTCTGCAGCCTACAGGTCTGGATGGGCAGATCTTCAGCCCCACAGTGAATCAAGGGAGTGAAATAGGAGGAGCTGGTTGTTGGTGTGGGGGTGGGAGTGGGAGACGTTGTTCTCATGGTTGGAAGGCCACATTCTCCCTTCACTTGCTCTCTAGCCGCCAGTCTCCCGTGGTCACACAAATTCATCAAGCTCATGCCAACCTCAGGGCCTTTGCATTGACTGTTCTCTCTAGTAGGCTACTCTTCCTACAGCTCTTCATCTGCCTGTGTCCTCTGCACCTGCTTAGACCTTGGTATAAAAATTGTCTCCTTAGGGCTTGAAGAGATGCCTCAGTGATGGAGAACACTTGTTTCGGGGCTGGAGAAATGGCTTAGGGGTTAAGAGCACTGGCTGCTCTTCCAGAGGTCCTGAGTTCAATTCCCATCAACCACATGGTGGTTTTACAACCATCTGTAATAGGATCTGATGCCCTATTCTGGTGTGCAGGTATACATGCAGAGCACTCATACATTAAAAAAAAAAAAAGAACACTTGTTACTCTTGTAGGACCTGAGTTCAGTTCCCAGCATTCACACTGTGACTCACAGTCATCTGTAACTCCAGTGCCAGGGGATCTGGTGCCCTCTTCTGACCTTGCTGGGTGCTAGGCATGTACATGGTGCTTATACATACATGCAGGCAAAACTTCCCCACACATAAGATAATGTGGGGTTTTTGTTTGTTTGTTTTTGAGACAGGGTCTCACTCTGTGGCCCTCCTTTTGTAGATCAAGCTGGTTTTGAATCCACAGAGATCTGCCTGCCTCTGCCCCCTGAATGCTGGGATTAAAGGTGTGTGCCACCATTCCCAATTAAATAAACACATCTTGAAGAAAAAGGAGGGGGGGAGAAGGGGAGAGGAGGAGGGGGAGAGGAGGAGGAGGAGAATATGGAATGAGGAAGAAGAAGGAAGGAAGGAGGAGGAGAAGAAAAAGAAGAAGAAGAAGAAGAAGAAGAAGAAGAAGAAGAAGAAGAAGAAGAAGAAGAAGAAGAGGAAGAAGAGACCGTTTCAGTAGGGCTTTGGAGGTCACTTAGTAATGTGCTTGACACACAAGTGTAAAGACCTGAGTTCAGATCTCCAGCACCACATTAGGAGCTGGACATGGTGGTGCAAGCCTGTAATCCCAGCACTCGAGAGGCAGAGACAGGAAGATTCCTGGTGCTATTGGCCAGTAGTCTGAGAACTCTATCTCAAAACAATGTGAAAAGCAATTGCAATTGTGGGAGACACTTGATGTCAACCTCTGGCCTTCTCAGCACACACACATGAAGGGGAACACACACACACACACACACACAAACACACACGCCTCCTCCTTAGAGGTCTCTAAGTTGTTTCCTCTGATTCTCTCTGATCTCTCCTATGTATTGTCTACATTTGTGGTGTATTTTTTATTTACTTCATCTTGACTACTTTTAATTTTCTCCTTTGCCATCTTGCCCTAAGTCTGTCCAGTTCAGTGAGGTGGACTGTAGACATCTGTCCATACACTGCTCCATCTCCATCACCCAGCCAGGCCTTGGTCCAGAGAGGTCTTCAACCAATCACAGCTGTGCAAGTGAATGCACCCAAGAAGGAATGAGTGAACCCTGATGAACCCACCGGGTCCAATGCTGCATGTATCTGAAAAGCTGCTCCACTAAAGAGGCTGCTGCTGTTGTTGCCAAGGCAACGATGCCTGCTTTCCAAAGTATCTTTAAAAGAGAGAAGTAAGACTCACACAGACAGTGTTGGGAAGGAAAACCCAGACAAGATTCCATTCCTGAACCTTCCACGAGGCTGCCTGTTTTCTATCTAACTCCCCCAAGGGCCACTTTCCCTGTTGTCCTTTGTTAGGTCCCTTATATGAACACAGTAAACTCCTGTATAGAAACAGCCTTTTCTGGCCACACACAATGCTCTTGGGAACAGTGTGTGCTGCCTGGCTGGCTCCACCAGGACCTACCAGGACTGACCAGGCATCAGTGAGAAAGACAGGCTGGTCTTGGAGTTTTTCTAGAAAGTTCCTTTAGCCCTTGTCATGGGCAGCAGGGACAGTACTTCAGCATTTTTATGGTAGGTAGCCACATGTCTTCACAGAGCTCAAGGAAGGAGGCAGCTCAGGGCTGCATATGTACTGGAGTGAGTGGCTTTGCACCTGGACGAAATTCTTCCTTCACCACAGAAATGGAAGGACACTGAGCAGGAAGAGGTGACAAAGATTTTGGGTAGGAATCTCAGGGGCAAACATCCCTGATCTAGTTCCCAGGAGATGCAGCCTGATCCCCAAGCTACCCCTGTCTCTTCGGGCCTCCTTCAGTATCTCCAGTGAGTCAGCATTGCCCTCCTCGGCTGTCAGAGGTTGCTGGGTGCTTCGTGGGACACCAATGAACAGAGAGGACCAGGGCTCTTCAGCACCATGTCTGGCATCTCTGGGCAGGACACCTCAGGTCCCGGATTATCTGAGGCAACCTGGGGCTCAACTGACTCCTTAGGCAAGACTCGGGGACAGGGAGGCTAGGGCAGGGGCCGTGGTGGGGAGACAGAGAAGAGGAATTGGAGCTCCTCCTGCCCCCTGCTTCCTGCAAACAAGACTTGCCTTGGTCCAAGTGACCCTACCCTGGTCAGATATGATCATGTAGCCTGGCTTTGGCCACTCAGAATCCCAGACCCATGCTGGCCAGAGAGGGTCATCTTTGGTTGGGACCTCTGGGCCTGAGCAGTTTTCTGGCTCAAGATGCTGAGCTGGGACATGAACTGAGGCTGCTGGACTCATCACATCAGAGACCCTGCTGAGAATGCAGTCACCGAGGGGTGTGGCCAGTCACAGGTAGAGGCATCACTTGAGGACCTGGGGCTAGCTGTAACCGAAAATGCCCCATGTATGTGAGTGAGCTCCAGATGCTGTTTCTGTGTGACCTGGTGAGGAGGAGGGAAGGTGAGAGGGCAGTTTGGATGTTTAGAAACAGGGGTCCAAAGGTGAACTGATGGAGGGGCTGCCTCCTGGGACCCACAGTTTTGCCTTGCTCTACTTCCCAGCATGCAGTAGCCTAGAAATGTCACAACGCAGCGGTAAATGCCGTGAACACAAGAATGGGATACTTCCTGCTTGCCAGGATCATTGAAATGGGATACTCCCTGCTTGCCAGGATCAGGAGTAGTAGCACACATTGAAAAGGGGTGGCCTTCCTCTCTCCTTTGGCCTTTGGGGGAACTAGTGTGTGTGTGTGTGTGTGTGTGTGTGTGTGTGTGTGTGTGTGTGTCTGTGTATGTGTGAGTGTGTGCATGTTAGAATACTGCAAATTTTACTTCTTCCAAAGGTTCATATCCGTACCTGTGGAGGCCAGAGGTCAACTCAGGTCCTCCTCAGCTATTTCTCCACCTTTTTTTTTTTTTTCTGTCACTGATTTAGTGAGGTTGACTCCAGAGAGTCACCAGTCTCTGCTGCCCCAGTGCTGGTTACAGGTCCTAATGGCCACACCCAGCTTTCTACATTGGTGCTGGGGCTCTGAACTTCAGTCCTCGTATTTTCTTGGTGAGAATTTTTCCAATGGAACCAAATAAGAACATTTGGAGAAAGCTGCTTCCCTTACCCCCTTCATGGGTGGCCACAAGGCTTGGGAACACATGAGAGGCTCTGACAAGTCCTGCAGTTAAGAAAGCCTGTTCTTTTTATTTGACCTGCTGATCTTCTCTCACTTTGTCCTAGGTAGTTTAGAGAGGAACCCTGGTTATTACCCATGGAACACACTCTAGGGCACACTGGCGTAAAAAGACCCCTCATACCTCTAGAAGCTTCTGAGAGGGCCAGGCCTTGGAAAGAGTCTACAGTCCTCTCAAGGCTGGGGAACCTTGGAATTGGAGAGGGGAAATAGATTCTCAGCCTTCTCTGGAGGAGGGCACCCCCAGTCTGGAAGCTTCTCCTACCTGCTGCAACCCCAACCTCTTGAGGTGTCAAGTTTAGTCTGCCTCAGGTCATTGTGGGGAGTCCCTGCAGGTGGCAGGAGGAAGAGGAGATAGGTACCACAGAGGCAGTGCCACAAGCACCCAGCAGTTCACAATGGAGTGGCACAGAGAGGCAGGTGACAAGGTCAGCTGGCCCTGGTGTCCTCGAATGACAAGGATGAGCCCTGGGCACTGATTTCTTGGGGGGGCCCAGCTCTCACGGAGCCATCCAGGTTTAGAGTCCTCCTCTGGCATCCGTCTCTGTAGGGCTGTGTGTCAAGCACCCATTGGCCGCAGCATCATACGCGTGCCCTGCAGCGAGTAGCTGGCGCCCCGGAAGTAGTGCCAGCGAATGCCATTGATCTTGTGCAAGTGTTGATGAACTGGATAGTAGATGCCATTGAGGTTGGAGAGGCCACAGGCATCAAACCACCACCCTGGTGGAAGAGAGACGACAGAGTTTGGGGGAGACGGGATGTGGTGGCCTGGATTCTAGGAGGGCAGGGCTGGCAGGCTGTCATCTCGGGGTGCCAGCTTGCTGAAGGCAGTGGGCTGGGCATGGGAAGAGGTGAAGCCAGAGCTCTGAAGGCAGCAGAGGCTCCGGTCACAGCTCAGGCCCCTCTGTGACTTCCTGCTGTCTCCCTGACACCCCATCTCCATCTTTTTCCCTTGATGACTTCCCACCATGCTCTGTCATGCATGCTCTGCTTTCTTGTTGTTTTCTCTAGAGGGCTCTGTGTTTGTGGATGTCCCTCTATGTGTCTTCTGTCTGTGTCATCTTGCTTGTGTGGTTTCTGTCCTTGTTGAACTGTCTTCCTTTGGGGCTCTGTCTCCAGTGTGCTCTGCAGACCTCTTGCCTATCTATTGGGCTTTATTCCTCTCCTTGCTGTCTGCTGTCATCTGCACCTCTCTGCCTCTGCCACCTTGTGTCACTGTTGGCCTCCTCTGGTCCTCTCTATGACTTGAGTCTCATTTATCTGTGCTTTCCCCGCCCCATCCTCTGGTTTTCGTTTCTACCGGAGCACTGCCTGACAAAGGTGTAGAATGGACCTGCCTTTCCTGCCTCTGGTCTCCCCCATGCTGTTTCTACCTGGCCTGGGGAGTAGGGGAATCCTCAGACAAGAGGGCATCATGCTTTCCCAGAGCCACTCTTGGTGTCTACCAGTTGGTCTCTAAGGAAATCTAGGGGTGTTTCTATAGGAGGTACAGCCTCATGTGAACTCCAGTGACCTGGAAGAGGGAGATTTGGCTGGAGCCTCATCAGGAACACCCACTCCCAGACATCATCTGGACATACCCTCCTCCACCTCCAGACGTCATCTGGACACACCTACCTCCAGACAACATCTGGATACACCCACTTCCAGACATCATCTGGACACACCCACTTCCAGACATCATCTGGACACACCCACTTCCAGACATCATCCGGACACACCCACTTCCAGACATCATCTGGACACACCCACTTCCAGACATCATCTGGACACACCCACCTCCAGACATCATCTGGATACACCCACCTCCAGACATCATCTGGGCACATTTGCACATGCAGTTGTCATTGTCCATGTCGCTGGTGCTGAACTTGGTGCCCTGTGGAGTCAGGCTGTTCTTGAGTCCTGTTGAGCTGCTGCTTGCATTCACCAAGAGGCTAGAGGCCCAGGAGGAGGGGTAGGGTAAAACAGCGGTGCAGAGTTAGATTGGTGCTCCCCAAAGGGCTTTGTTCTGGCAGAGTTTCCTTCCTAATGTTTTTGCAGGGAAAACAGCCTGCTCTGATGCCCAGGCCATTGTCCCTCCTGGTGACCCTCCTCACTTGCACAACCCTGGGGTCACAGCACTTACTGCTGCTGCCTCTTTCTTATTTGCTGAATTGGGGTCCTAGAGAGCTCTGAGTGTGAGACGAAGATGCGGTCTGGAGGGGGTGTGTCCAGATGACCTCTGGAGCTAGCAATCTTTGAGCATCTGCTCTGGGCCAGGCATTGTTTCAATGTCTTGAGAGGGCTAACTCATTTTCATCTAAACCTCCCAATACTTTTTTCTACATGAGGACATGGGGATGCAAAAGCCACAGGAAGCTGCTCAGTTCTCAGAATCAGTAACCATCAGAGCTAGTGTTCAGTCTGGAGGGCCTGGTATTGCCAGCAGACCACCCTGCAACCTCAGAGTATCGCTGCTGCTTTACTCCACACCTCTCCTGAAAGCTTTCCCTGGACACACCAGCCCCTTGTACTAACACTCAGGAAACCCCCAGCTAGCGGACAGAGAGCTTCTAATTCTCTGCCAGACTCTGCATCCCTGGTGGCTATGTCCAAACCTACAGGGTGATAATGGCTGTGGGGTGGGGGTAGGGCAGAGTGCCTGGATTCAAACCCCAGCATGGCCTGGCTTTGGGAAGACATCTTTACCCCACCGAGACTCAGTGTCTTCACTTACTCAAATGGTGACAAGAGACTTACTGTGACTTGGTTCACCTGTGATTTAGTGACGTCAGCAGGTGAAGTGTGCTGAGAGGCTGGGGGTGTCAGTGAGAGCCCTACATTCAGGACTGCCGGTTCAGTCCTTGGGACAGGGCAGCATGGCTGAAAAGTGTAGGAAAAACTTTCCTGAGCAGCTGAGGCAGAAGTTGGCTTGGAAACTATGAAGATACTTCAATAGTAGATGGAAGCAGACAGAGGAGGCAGCCAGTCCTGCAGGGCCAAGGAAGCATGGGGCCTCTACACGGCTGGCTCAGTCCATGCCTCTCACCCACAGGCTCCATCTGTATGTGGCCAGGCAGGGTATTCACAACCAGTCATGAAAGCCCAAGTGTGCCCTTAACATGTTACTCTAGCCCCAGGGACCAGTGTTGCAGAGGTGTGACTGGCTGGCTAGGTTCTGGCTTCTTCCTCTGGCCATTAAACTCAGGGATGTCCCTCTTCTTTCTGGGAACCAGAATGGGTATCAGTGATTCTCCGGGGACCTCTACCTCAGAGCTCAGGAAACTTCACTTTGATCACGTGTGTCTGAAGAAACCCAGATACTTGAATCTCTTGGGAATTCCCCAAATGAGAGCATGAAGTGTGTCCCACTGCATTCAGAGGATTCCTGTCACTGCATCTGACAAACAAGGGCGCCTCCTGCCTGTTGCTGCTAGCCTTTTCACTCCCTCCCCTGGGTTTTTCTATGGTTGCTCCCACCTTAGCTGCTGACCTGGATATGGGTCCCAGTGCAGGCTGTCAGCATTCTTCCCCTGCTCCTCCTTTGGCTATTTCGTTTCCAGGATCCCCACTCCCACCCCCACCCCAAGCCAGTCTTCCTGGCTTTTCCTTTAAAAGTGGATACCTTACAGCCCTAGAAGCCCTAGTGAACATCTTATTCAGGTTTGGGGAATGTATAACCTAGCTGGATGCCAACTCTTTGCTATTCTCTCTCTCTCTCTCTCTCTCTCTCTCTCTCTCTCTCTCTGTGTGTGTGTGTGTGTGTGTGTGCATGTGTATATACTTGTCTGTGTTTAGAAGTGTACATATCCATTTGTGTGCTTATGGAGGCCAGAGGACAATCTTGGGTGTCCTTCCTTGGGCATTTGTTTTGAGACAGGGAGTTTATTTCATTGGCCCAGTGAGCTCCAGTGAGCCTCCTGTCTCCGCTTCTCCAGCACTGGGGATATAAGCATGCCTGGCTTTAAAAAGTTGGGTTCTGGGGATTGAACTTGGGTCCTTATGCTAGAAAGACATGAACTTTATTGACTGAGCTATTTCTTCATCCCTCTCTGCTGTTTTTGAGAAAATCTCATTTCCTAGGATTCCCCTCCAAAATGACTCGTTTGTGACAAGCCTCACCTCTCCCAGGAGACCTCTTTGGTTGTCCTGGGTATCACCCCTGGCAGCTACTTCCTCCCTGGAGGAATTAGGTTGCCTGTGAACAAGTCTCTTCACCACCACACTATCACCACATTGGGATATGAGCAGCTCTGAGGAGGTAGGTCCAGGCCAGAGTCTTTCCCAAGTGACCAGCACATGCCTAGCACAGGGCGAGTTTCAATACCCTGTCATTAGGGCTCTGCAGCCTATTAGGAACATGCTGCTCTTTAAGGCATGACAGTGAGGGTAGCAGGGAGCTCTCCATGGTTCGGAGACAAAGCCAGAGGGGTATAAAACACCCAGTTTACATGCAAAGAGCTTAGGGAAGGCGGAGGAGACCTGAGTACGACTTTGTGTGACAAACACAAACTCATACACTGTTAGACAGATGTTGGGGTAGTATAGTTCTGCCTTTGAACCTAACATTTAAAGATCTCCAACATTTACCCAACACTCACTATATGCCAGGTGCCTTACCCATAGGTTATGATGCCAGACTCTGGCTCTCATAGAGCAAGCCAATGGCACATGAAGGCTGCAACAGGAATAGCTATTGCAATACTATTTACCTGCCAGGCACTATGAGGGTGCTTTAGGTGGAACCCCACATTTGAGCCTGCACTTCTAAAGTGGGTGGGGGAGTATGTTCAGGGCTTCCACTCAGAAAATGAAAGGGTAGAGGGATTTGCTCAGGGCCACTCAGAAAGAGGTGCTGGTGGGACACAATCTGTCCTTTAAGGGTCAGTGGCATCAGTAGGCACTAGTAGAGTGTGTCAAGTTCTCCCTGTTCAGCTCTGAGGATCTGGAGCACCTGTCTCAGCTCTGCACAGCTCAGCCTTAGGGATGCTTCCTCCAGCTCTGCCTCCTGCATATCAAGCATCAGGGTGGGTCCCACAAGGGAGGCTGGCAGGCCCACTCCACTGGAGGAAGCAAGGACATTTTATAAGAAAAGGGAGGCATGGATGGGGGATTCCAGGGGAGGTCCCCAGAAGTAAAGTTACGGGCAAAGAGTCATTTAGAAATCCCCTGGGAGGAAGTAAGAGCTCCTCAGCTTTCTGAAAGTTGTCTGCAGCTGTGGAGGGGACAGATGTCAGGGGGCACCCTTGCAGCACCATGGGTGAGTCCATGAACTCATTCTGGCTTGGTTCAAAGATAGCTAAGACACTGGCTTAGTTTGAAGATCATTGAGTGTCTCAGAGAAGTGACATCACAGAGTGGAGACACAGTGGATTTGATAACAGGAAGAACTAAGTTCAAATCCAGGATCCATCTAAGCTGGCACTTTAGACAAAAGACACAGTTTCCTTCTCACGAAACTGTGTGTAGTAATGTCTGCCTCAACTGTGTGAGGAACTGTGTCTGGAACATAGCAAGTGCCTGGTCTTTTCTTTTCTGGTCTGCTTCTTTTCCCTATCATACACCATAAACCAGGCAGAAGGAGGGGCAGGAAACCTTGATGACTTGACTATGGTCTTATGCCCAACACTGCTGAAGAGCACAGAGAATGATGACCTTGATGTGCTCAGGTTTTATTTAGAGCCACAAATAGCAGCACTGGGAAGGGTTCTCTTTTCTCCTGCTGTGGGGACTTTTGCACCTTAGCACAGGGCACAGGACAAACTGAGAAGTGAACCCCCACTCCTGCTGTCTGTGATTGGGGTGGCCAACCTTGGAAGATCCCTTCTTGCTCTAGGCACGGTGGCGTCAGTGACAGTCTCTTCACCCCACCCAGTGGCCGAGAAGTGCTGAGTGCTAAGCAGCCACCTCCAGATCCCGTGACGTGCACCCAAATGGGGGCCAGATGGTGGAAGCCGGAGACGCCCAGGGAATGACCCTCGGTGCAGACTCTGCAGCCATTTGCCTTGGGACCCCAAACCACCCACAAGCCTGGGCCCCAAGCCCACCTGTACCGCTGCCTTTCATTGCCCAGCTGGAAATGCTCATACTGGATGGAGGTCTGGTGGCCTTCCCAGTCATGCAGCTCCACACGCAGCAAATGGGCTGTCCTGCTGGTGAGGTGGTGCACAGCCTCATTGCCCAGCCAGTGCTCTCCAGCCACAATACCAAAACCCTGTGGGGGAGGAGAGGAAAGGGTGTCTGTGGGCTGAAGAGGGAGGTGGTGTTTGTGGCCCAGGACCTGGGCCAGCCCAGGCTCCATGGCCACTTATCCAAAGACAGTTCCTAATGAGCAAGTTTGTAAGAACAGCGTGCACAGGCCTGGGACAGGAGCTCCTTCCCAGAGAACAAAGATAAAGCCTTTGTAAAATTTAAACCTGCTAAAAATAACTGAAGTCACATTCCTCTAAAGTCAGAAACACTCAAAACTCATTTGTGGTGATGGGAATTGGAATAGCTCGGGAGAATGGCTCATCAAGGAAGAGCAATTGCTGTGCAAGACTGAGAGCAAGAGGATCACTGAGGCTTGCTGGCCACCAGCCTAGCTCTAGGCCAGTAAGAGACCCTGACTCAAGGGAGTCACAGAGCAGGATATCAGACACCCTCCACTGGCCTCCTAGCATGACTGGGAGCATAAACCTGCATGCATGCATACACCACACAGGTAAGCTCACACTCACAGACAATAAAGTAAACATTAGAAAGAAACCTCTGGGGACACACCTCAGGAGAGGGGCGCAGGGGGGCTTCCCAGGAAGTTGTGTATTTAGCTATGAATGGTGTTCACATGGGTGAGTCTGTGGGGAAATTCACGGAGCTTTCTGCTTTATAGTTGTGAACTCAGCTACATGCAAGTTAAGCCTCAGCAGGAAGGAAACGACCGAGCGGCTGAGCCAGCTGCTGGGCAGGAGTGGCAGGAGCACATTTTCCCAGAGGCAGGAGAGAGGCCCAACAGTTTCAGCAATAGAGAAATGGAAGGCTACAACTCTTCAGAGTGTCTTTGTGTGTCCAGGGTAGCAAGAAACCAATGACCTTGGCAGAGAAATCCCTCAGGACCAAGGACAGGGGCACAAAGTGTCCTCCATGCCCTTGATCTGCTGGCAATTTAATGCCAAATACTTTAAGTCCTTATCTGGAGAGCTGCTGGTGGACACTGATTGCTTGGTTCCTGATGAATATCTTTTTCTATTTCTTTTACTTTTGAATACCTAAAGGGTATGTAAGCCAGCTTGCCAAAACTCCTGTGTTCAAAATTGAACTGAAAACATAAGATTGGAAGGCAGCTGGGTGCTCACTACCACCCTATACAGCACGCTGTTCTTAAGGCAGCAGCCCCACCCTGTGATCCTAGAGTTGTGAAGGTGGAGACAGGAGGACCAGACGTTGAAGGTCAACTACAAGGAGACTTTGAGGTCAACTTGAAATACAGGAAATCCAGAAAAAGATGAGAAGGAGGAGAAAGAGGAAGAAATTTGTTCTGTAGATGGCTACAGATGTGTACAACAATGAGGAAATTTATACAGCCTGGTGGTGCACACCAGTAGTGACAGGTGGAGTTCTATGTTTTTAGGCCAGCCTTGCCTACAGAGTGAGTTCCAGGAAAGCCAGTGCTGTATAGAAAGACCCTGTCCCAAAAAGAAAAGAAGGAGGAGAGGGAGGAGGTAGGGGAAGAAGAAAGAAGAAGAAAAGGAGGAGAAGAAGAAAAGAAGAAGAAGAAATTCATTTAAGCCATATAGTCAGGGATGATGGAGAGTTCTTTTTCCTGTTTTATTCTTTCACTATTATTTTCTCTCTGTGTACATGTATGTGTGCTGTATGTGCATGTGTGTTTATGTATGTGTGCATGTATGTTTGTGTGTGTGTGTGTGTGCATGTATATGTGCTGTGTCCTGTGCATTGTGTGCTGTGGGTTATGTGTGTGTGCTTGGTTCATGTGCATGTGCAGTGTGTGTGTGTGTGTACTGTGTATGTGTGTGCGCTGTGGGCTATGTGGTGTGTGTGTGTGTGTGTGTGTGTGTGCAGTCCAGAGGTTAATCCCAGGTGTCACTCCTCAGGGGTTGTTCTTGTTTTTGAGACAGGAACTCTCACTGGCCTGGAGCTTGACAATTCACTAGGCTGACTAGTCTGAGCTCCAGGGGTCTGTCTGTCTGTCTCTTCAGATCTGGGACCACAGGTTCATGCCACCCTTCCCAGCTTTCTTATATGGATTCTGGGAATCAAACTTAGGTCCTTGTGTTCACCCAGCAAGCATGTCACATACTAAGCCATCTCCCTAGACCTTCCTTTGGAGTCTTTAAAAGGTGTTACTAACATGTATGTGTTACTTTCCAAATATTAACACAAAAATAAATTTCGTTCTTAGGACACATGTGAGAAATGTCAAAAGAGGGCTCAATTTGAGGCTGGGGTCTGGAATAGCAAATGAGCCTGGACAGTTATTAGGTGAGCTGGGCTTTCGCCCTGAGGAGAGGTAAGGGCGTACCAGTCCCCACCCACAGCACTCCCTGCATGGGCTCTGGGTTCAGATCCCCAGGACAACATATTACCTCTTTGTATTCCTCCCAGGTCCTCTGGAAATTCACGCTTCCATCCTGCCTGCGCTGGATGAGAGTCCAGCCACCTCCATCAGTCTCCATGTCACAGAACACCTGGGGGGGGCACACGACAACACAGCTGGAAGCTCTTGGAGGGGCCACAAGCCAACCCTCAGCCAGTCTAAATGTAACTTGGCTGAACTCTGCCCTTCTCCAGCTACAGTGAACCTGAGGTCAAAGGGCATCAGAAAAATCCAGACTCAGACCCCCTACCACCCCCACCACTGCCATCTTTCAAGGAGGCAGGTGAGGGACACCTCCTCAGAGCCTTCTTATGTGCAGAGTGGGATGTTAATACTGTCAACTCTTTATGCTCCATTCTCCTCTGCAAATGCTATAAACTGTGGAGAACATTCCGAATAGAGGCTGACAGACACACCCACGAGGTGTTTCTCATTTGTTAGTGCTGCAGGGGTGCAGCCGGGGTCAAAGTTCACATTAGACACCTGACAGGAACAACTTGAGGGAGAGAGAAAAGACTTACTTCACTCTTGGCTTAACAGCGTTTTCAGGACGCAATTGCTTGGCATTTTGTGCTGGGACAAAACATTATGGTGGGAGAGAGAGAGAGAGAGAGCGAGAGCGAGCGAGAGAGAGCAAGAGAGAGCAAGAGAGAGCAAGAGAGAGAGAGCAAGAGAGAGAGCAAGAAAGAGAGAGCAAGAGAGAGAGAGAGCAAGAAAGAGAGAGCGAGAAAGAGAGAGCGAGAGAGAGAGTGTGTGTGTGTGTGTGTGTGTGTGTGTTGCTTCAACTCATGGCAGTCAGGAAGCAGAGAGTGAAAAAGGACTGAGGCTTGGCAGGTGTGTTCCCATTGACCCACTTCCTCCAACTAGGCTCTGTTGTCTGCACTTTCCAGAACCTTTCAGAATAGCACCACCAGATGAAAACCAGGGACTCAGCTCATAACCTCCTGAGGTCAAACCATAGCAAGCTGAGGAGTTTGGATGCAGTGCAGACTCAAGAAAGCGCTATTCCAATGGGCACACTAGATGGAGGTCTTCCAAGCACCCACCTTCTAACCTCTGTTCAAGGCTGGGCTTGTGAATAAGACAAAAGGGCCTTTCTTTCAGAGGGCTTGCAGCCTAGCACAGCTGACTTCCAGCATCAGACACTGAACATGGGTATGTTGCCTGGCCCTGCACTGAGTTATTGGTAAATAGGAGATAGATAGATAGATAAATCAGCTCACAGGGCTGGCTGGCTTTGGAGGAGACTCTGATAGGGCAAGCTGGCTACTTGGGGAGCTAAAGGTGGTAGTCACTGGAGACTCCTGGAAAGCTTCCTGGAGGAGGTGGTTTTGGAAGAGGGCATCAGATGATAATGTACTTCCATGTAGGGGTGGATTGAATGATGGAATTCTCAGAGAGAGAGAGAGAGAGAGAGAGAGAGAGAGAGAGAGAGCATGTAGGGCTCAGCAGGGCCCCAGGGGGAGGGAAGGGAGGGCACCTGCTGTGGTGAGTGTATAGGTACAGGAAGTCCAGAGCAGTGTGCAGATAAGTGGGACCAAAGACACACCGAGGTCTAGCTCAGAACTCTTGCCTCCCAGGTCAGCTCTCATCTCTCCACCAGCGGTCCCAATTCTAGGCATTCACATCTGCCCACATTCCACCACAGCTGAACTTACTCACCCTCACACAACACATTTACTTTCAAAGTGCTGGCATTTCTGTGCTCACACCCACAGGATAAATGACAGTTGGAAAGGAAGCCTTATCAGTATCGTAAAGGGAAAGCCAGAGACACTCGCTTTATCTGGACAGCGGTAAACACCAGGAAAGCAAGAGTGCTGTGCAGAACCAGCTAGACTTTGCCAGGGCAAGGTCCTTCCTTGATTTTGTGTGGAAAGGGGAGTGTGGCAGGTTATGTAGAAACACAAAAGTCAATCTGGGTCAAACAAGGCTATGGTCCTCAAAATATGCAGAAAAGTCAGTCTGGAACTGCAAAAGGTCTGCGCCTATTCCCTCTGGCCTGCCCCAAACCTCACTCCTGACATCGGTACTTCCCCTGATGGCCTTCCATGGGGGGGGAGGGCGGTTGGACAGATGACTGTCAAGCTTAGGGCAACCTTGGAGCCTCTCACTGGATGGCACCCTGCCCCCATCAACCCATCACCAGCTTTATAGACCCAACTCTTGCTTCTCCTGAACTGTGTAAACAGAATAACCTGCTTGGGCAATGACAAATAGGAGTGCCCAGGGCCATCAGTTACAGGAACGGCCTGCCATCTTTACCAACAAGGAACAGTTTCCCGAGATTCTGCTTAGAAGCCTGGTTCTGGAGAAGATGGTGACAAAGGGTATACTGCTGGCTTTGTGAATGTCTGCTTCACCCCTTCCTCAGAAACCTGCCCGGCAAGCATTTCCAGAAACAGGGCTCCCTTGTTCTCCACTCTCAGAGGGTGGATAAAGCCATCTGGGGTGTGGTGGGAGGGCCTGTCAGAGAAAACCTCAGTTCAGCACTATCTCAAAGACCCTGTCCAGGAGCCACTAACCTTGAGAGGCCTTGTCATGTTGGCCACACGGATGGTGTAGATGCCACTGGCGTTGGCCCCGGAGCGCTTGATCTCTGCACAGTCCTGGAACAGCTGCTTGGGGATCTTTAGGGACACTGCAACAGGACAAAGCAAATGTCAGCTGGAAGTCCAGGCGTGGCAGTGTACACCCGGAATCCCAGAACTTGGGTAGCAGAGGTAGGAGTGTCTTGAATTTGAGACCTTCCTGGATCATAAGATGTTGTTTCAAAATAAAGGAAGAAAGAAAAAAAAAAGAAGGGAAGGAGGAAGAAAGGGAGAGACCGAGAGAGGGGAAAACATCAGCTGGAGGTGAGCGAGGAGAGAAGAGAGAGGTCCACCTGCCCACTCTGTTCACATCCTGCCTGGGGAGGTGTGGAGAGAAGAAGACGAAGCTTCCAGGAGGGGAAGGTGAGCTGGGACTATCCAGGTGAGGTGGGGGGGTCGTAACATCCCCAGGTAGGAACAGCTCTCTATGCAGGGGATGGGGCAAAGGTCATTGGTGTCCACCATGAGACCTGGGAGCAGTGGCACAGATAGGGTGGGGAAGGAAAGAACAGCAAGAAGCCTAGGTTTCAGCAGCTTCAAGTGCCAGCTAGACAAATCTGGCTGCAGGGCTGTGGCACAGTGCTCAGTGGATCAGTCAGGAGCAGGGGATGCTCAAAGAAGGCAAGGGGGAGCTTGGCTGCCAGGCTCCAGCACATGGAGAGGCAGGTGACACCCGCCACCCACCTAGGCACTTTCCATGTCCCAGGGCAGGAAGCTGACTGACTCAAGGGCTCCCAGCTTCCCTTTCCTGGAGTGCCTTTGGGAGGGGGCCTGGGCTGTCCAGTGGCCCACCGACAGGCTGGATCTCCTGCAGCCCTGGTTAGAGACCACTCATTTTGCTCTTCCTGGAAGCTGATGACTGGCTCCAAGGATCCATGTATATTCCCTAAGCAATGCATTCTTGAGACCAGGAAGCTATTAATTTAATGACAGGAATCCACCATGACCCCCTGAACACACAGGGAGTTAAAAAAACCATCTGTCTATCTCACGTAGTAGGCTTGGGATGGGGTTCTACTAGAACCCAATCTCTCTGATAGGCAGGTACCTAAGGATGGAGCTGAAGTTGTGGAGGGATGGCTGTCAATACAAATAAAAAGACAGGAAGGTACTGGGGGCAGGACTTCCTGCTTGGGCCTTTTACATGGATGGTAGCTCCCAGATCCTGGTATTGGTAGACATATCTGAAGGAGGCTGTTCCAAACCACAAATGAAATTTCTAGAATATTTCCTGAGCAGGCTCCAGTGCCCACATGTCAGCAGCCCCTAGATCACCACAGCCCATAGGAATTGGGAGGCCAGACAAATACAGGGGAGTTAATGACTTAGAGGTAAGCAGGGACATGCTTACCTCATGCTGTACCTAACAAATCAGGGCAGAGCTGGGAGCTGGCTTGGGGTTTCTAGATACACTCTCCAATGCTTTGTCCACAGCCCATTTCCTCAGTGAATAACAAAACAACAACAGTTCAATAAAAGTGCTTTTACCTGGAACTATTGTGTTGGAGGGTTTCCTAGGATGCTGGGAGCATCTTGGGGTCAGGAAAAAATGATTCAGGGAACAGCATTAAAACAAAGCAGGACGGGTACAGCAATGCCACAGTTGGACGGAATGTGCGCCTGGATGCTAATCCTGTCCAGTTCCATCCCCTTCTGGCTCTAGGCGCCATGCAGAGCCCCGTCAGTGTGGCCTTCAGTGTGTTCTCTACACAGATATGCTGGAGGCCTCTGTCCTATCATGTAGGTGAGGGGTCAGATGACTTAGGAAACGAGGGAAGCAGCCAGACTTGAATCCTGCTCCCTCCACTGGCTAGCCCCTTCCCTCTTCACCCTTCCTGGGGTTGGGTATCTTATCTGAGTACAAAGAGGCTGGGCAAATGGATTGCTGCACAGATGCCACTTAAACATGGGCAAGGCTGTGTCCGGGTCCTCACTTTGTGACTCTGACTCTCTGAGATAGCTGGGATGTTTTTCCTCTTCTCCCCAGGTCCTGCTGGCTTCAGCATGCTCTGTCCCATCCTTCGCTTAGCTCCCATTCATCCAGCCTCCCATGGGTTCTCCATCCATACAGAGGGCAAAAGCCACTCCCAAAGTCTTTTCCTGGTGACAGTCAGGCAAGTGGACAGCTGTTTGGACAGCGAGTGATAGGTGCTTGACACAGCCTCCCACTGGGCTCAGGGAACAGACATCAAGCCACAGTGGCAAACAATGGAGCTGTGGGCCTGCAGGGAAAGGCACCAGCCCAGGCCCTGGCCCTGTCTGTGAGAAACCCACACATGGGACTCATTCAGATTGTCTCACTGCCAGGGTAGTGCACAACTCCATAATGGCTTCTGGCATATTCTGTGGGCTAGAAGGCATCTACCTCTCCTACTCATGGCTTCCCTGGCCCGCTGGACTTAAGAAGTCATGGTGGGATCCTTTGTCCCAATTCCCTATTAGCCTGGAACCCCCCCACATGCTTAACGCTTACCGAAGGCCCAGCCTTCTCCATGGTGGCTTGAGACTGCCCTTCAGCAGGAGCACCTTTAGCATCTTACCCACAGAGCCAGCATCCACTCCATAGTAACCTGTGTTTTCTAAAAGAAGTCCCACTGGGCAGTGGTGGTACACACCTTTAATTCCAGCACTTGGGAGGCAGAGGCAGGAGGATCTCGGTGAGTTTGAGGACAGCCTGGTCTACAAAATGAGTTCCAGGTCAGCCAGGTCTGTTACACAGAGAAACCTTATTGGGGCAGTGGGGATAAGAAGTCCCACCCTACCCAGCCCCTCCTGTGCCTCTGCTGGCCTTAGGCTGAAGTGCCCTCTTCTTGGCTCAGCCCCTTAGCCCTCTGAGCTGTGGAAGCTGTAGTTGAAGAGCTAAGAGTACCTAGCATACGGTGAGCCCTCAATGAAGAAGTGTTTCCTCCTCTTTCCCACTGAGACCTGCCAAGTGGTGGGAAAGTTTGCAGGAGACAGGGACCATAACAACTGTGTGCTTTGAGCTCCTGCCACCCTAGAGGCTACCTGGCACACAGTGGGTGCTCAATAAATGCTTGTTGACTGAGTGACTGCAGATGGAACCAGGCATGCCAAAGAGGGCTGTGGAGCAAGGTAGGCAAGGCATGTTTCTCTTTTCTATGGCAGTCTGGGGATGCCACGTCTCTTCCCATTTCCATATGGCTGTCTAGGCCTAGGAGCAGGGGCATTAAGGGGAGCAAATTGTGCTTGGGACTCATTGTGTCCAACCCCTCTATTTTATGGGGAAACTGAGGCTTAGGGAGGCATGTAGCAAGCCAAGCAAGAGGAGCTGGATGGCTAGGTATAGTGGCACATGGTTTTAATCTGCCTCTTTGACAGTAGAGGTGGGTGGGTCTCTGTGAGTTTGAGGCCAGCCTGTTCTACACAAGTTCCAAGCTAGAGCTGTCAATTAAGAGTCTGTTTCAAAAGAAAAAAGAGAAAAGAAAGGAAGCCAGGACAGACTAGTCAGTGTAGGCTCTTGTCTGTGTTGTTACCTCATCAGATGGGGAAACTGAGGCCTGGAGTGAAACAGGGGCATAGCTAAGGTCTCTTCCCTCCCCTCTCTGAATTTCCACCCCTGCCCCCTGTATACCGCCTCCTGCTCACCAGGGCGCTGGTCCTGGGCTACAATTTGAACCAGACGCTGTACTAACTCCATCAGCTGTTGCTGCTGCTGCTGCAGGGAGCTGGAATTGCTGACCAGGGCCTGCAGATTGTGCTTCAGGTTAGCCAGAGCCCCGGTCTGGTGGCCTAGGAGGCTCTGCAGTTGCTCCCTCTTGTCTTGGAGGCTGTTCATCTGGGCCTGGTGCTGTGCTTCCAAAGTCTGCAGCCTGCTCTCCAGTGCCCTGCCAGGTGGGACACATAGGGGTAAGCCCAAGGTCCCTACCCCCAGCACTCACTCCACCCCCAGCCTCCCTAGGGCTGAGGAGGACAGCTACACACACAGTACAGAGGCTCAGAGACAGTCTGTGACTTGGCCGCAGGGTCACACAGCCTGGTAGTCTGTGTCCACTGTAGCTCAGACCAAGGAAGACACTCCACAGGGGCTGTGGAGTGACAAGGACAGGAGTGAGTATCGGAAAGGTCAGCAGGGAGGGGCCAGCAACAAACAAGTGGTCATGAGCAAAGTCCAGAAGCAGTGTCTATGACCAGTGTGCCTCCCCTCAAAGGAGACAGGCTCTAGGGAGTGTGGGCATGATACTGTTCATATGTGACAAAGGGAGGCATAGTAGATGCCCAACAGATGGGACTGGTGGCTCCATTCTGTTCTGGGATTCCCAGGACTGTGCTACAGCCACCGAGAGGATGGAGGTGGAGGTACTGGCAAAGAGGAGGCGGCAGAGCCTCTGGTGGAAGAAAGGAATGCATGGCAGTACGGAGGTGCTGGGGACAGACGGACAGGGTGTTGAAAGATGCTACAAGCCTCAGTGTGGGTGACAGGGAGGAATGAGACACACAGAGCACCCTGAGTATGACAGCTACACACTGTGCAGAGGCTCAGAGATGCTCAGTGTCTGCCTCACGGTCACACAGCCGTATAGCCTGTGTCTGCCATAGCTCAGATCAAGGAAGAGAGAGAGAGGCTGTGGAGTCACAAGAATAGGAGTGAGTAGAGCAATGAGGCTGGGCTGGGTTTCTGTAGAATGGGTACACATGACTGTCTTACACCGCTGGTGTTTCTATTTGTTCACTTGCAAGTACCAGGGGTAGAAGCCAGGGTCTTGGTCGTACTAAACAAGTATTCCACTTCTGAGTTGAGCCTCAGCCACTTGGATTTGTATCTATTAGCGCAATAAGCACAAGGCATATCCTGGTATAAACAGCAAAAACATTTAAGAAAAGAAAGCTTTCCACTCAGCTCTCCCGCTTTAGGAGTTTTCTCCTGTGGGAGATGAGATATGAGAGCACTAGTCGTACCACTGAATAGATAAGTAAAAAAGCTGGAAATGACCTTCATGTCCATTGACTGGGACTGGGAAATAGCACCGAGGAACCCTGGGAACTTGGAGAAAGGAACAGAGAGTGCACCATTCAACTGCAGAACCAAGCCTTGGGTGTCAGATTTCCCTGCCTTGTCTCTACCCCAGGGCTGTTTTTGTCTGTGTAAGTTCAGGGGTCCCCAGTGCATACTTGTGCAGAGCACCAGGCTGACAGTGAGGACAGATGCTGGAGATCGCCGGCGTGGATGGATCGAGTCACGTTTGCATACTCACAGTTACAGAAGCCAGTTTAAAGTTTACAATGTGGATTGTAAGGGGTGAAAATCGTATCTTAATAAAGCAATGAAAATTTAAAACAGAAAGAGAGATGGGAGGCTGAGGCAGGAGGATAGTAAGTTTGAAGCCATCTGAACTACATAGTGAGGACCCACCTCAAGCAAAAACAAACTGACAAAAGCAACAACAACAACAAAAACTCCAAACAAGGACAGTGTGTGTGTGTGTGTGTGTGTGTGTGTGTGTGTGAGAGAGAGAGAGAGAGAGAGAGAGAGAGAAAGCAAGAGAGAGAGAGCGAGAGAGAGAGAGAGAGTGAGAGAGAGAGCTGTTGACTCAGGTGGAGGGCTTACTTAACATGTGCAAGGAACTGGGATCCACCACCAGCACCACACAAAGAAGGAAAGTGGGAAGGGAAAGAATCAAAGGACAATGCAGTTCTCTTGATAGCAAATGCTGGGAGCCAGGCATCACCAACACTGGTTTGGACTCCAAGCCTCGTTCTGGTCCTTGTCTAGCCCTAACCTCCATCCAGCTTTGTCCCTAATCCTAGCTCCATCCCAAACTGGTCCTTCACCCCAATGCAAATCCAGGTCCCATCCCGACATTGGCCGGCTCCAGCTTCTCCCCCCAGCTCTAGCCCTGCCCCTGCTCACCTGTTGCGACTCTGTAGCCGCTGTAGCTCATGACTCTGCATCAGCACCTGTCTCTCCAGCTTGTTGGTGGACAGTGAGTTCTCCAGCATTTGGAGCTTCATGCGTGATGTCTGGTTTAGGACCTGTCCCAACAAACAGGAGGTTTGTTGGGGCATGTGCTATACAGGCCTAAGGGCCGTCCACTCTTGAAGCTTACCAACCCATTGCCAAGTCCTAAGCTATTAGTTTCCCTAGCTACTAGCTTACTATTATTCACAGGTCCTACCTGACTATTCCGGTTTCTGATTTGCCCTTCCTCATTACTGCTATTGCACACCCGTGCCAATCTTTTAGCTGTTTGGGCTCCAGAGGTATATCCTTGACCCCACATGCAATCAGTCCATCCTCCCCAACTTCCAAATGGCCCCTAGCCATATCCTTTCCTTCCAAGGCCCTATTGGATCTTGGCCTCTCCTAGCTCTTGAGTTGTCAACTTGACAGCCTAGAGTTATGATAGGAGTCCCAGTTAGGAGACTGCTTCTGTCAGATTGGCCTGTGTGGCATTCTCTTGATTGTTGATTGATGTGGGAGGGCCCAGCCCTATGAATGATGCTATTCCTGGGCAGGTGGTCCTGAATTGTATAAGAAAGCAAGCCGGGCAAGCCATGGAGAGCAAGCCAGCATACAGCCTTCCTCCATGGTTCCTGCCGCTGTTCCTGCCTTGATTTCCCTCAGTGATGGACTGTTATCTGGAAGTGTAAGTTAAATAAACTCTTTCTCCCTAGGTTGTTTTTAGTCCTAGCCTTTATCATAGCGGCAGAAAGCTATCCAGCTCACTGTCTGCTGTCTCTCATTCAGTGTCCTGAGCTGGCCTCATCACAGCGCTCCCTGCTCTTGCCTTGTCTCTCTCATCCTTTCCTTCAAAGTAGTCTGAGGTAGATAGCCTTTCATACCGTGGCCCCTTTGCTCAGAATCCTTCTGTGGAAAGTTCATCCTCACTGGGCCCGTGACTCAGTTTCCCTCTACTACCTTCCTGCCCTGTCTCCCAGGACATTGTTCTCTGCCATGTTCCTGGAGTAGCCAGCAGGCTCTACCTCTGAGCTTTTATGCACGCTGTTCCCCTGTCTAGTGTGTTCTTCCTAGCATCTTAGCCCGTGTCCTAACAGCACTGCATCCCAGTGTCCTTCCGACCTTGCTGTCTGGACTCATAGCCTCCCCCTCTACCCATGCACCCAGCACACCCCTCTTTCTCTCTGTACCATGTTGGTTCCCTGGCATGACCACCGAGTAACATACAGGAGCCGTGTATTCTTCTTTCCTTCTTGGTGTGTAGGGAGACACCCTAGCCCCGCCCAATAGTCCTGGGACTAGTACCAGGTGGACCCGGGACTCTCCCATAAGGGCGTGGTGAGGGAAAGCCGGGGTGACGTAAGGGAGCTTCTTAAGGGGCTGCACGTGGGGACCCGGGCCCCTTTTGTTCTGGCCGCACTTGCTGGGTTCTATAACCTAGCTCTGGCCTGTGTTTTGCTCTGGTGTCTTCTTGAATAAAGAGACTTTAATCATAATAGGTGGTGCCCAACGTGGGGCCCGAACCCACGACCCTGAGATTAAGAGTCTCATGCTCTACCGACTGAGCTAGCTAGCAGGGTATGCATGGTGTCTGGCACACAGGAGGGCTTTAGCAAACAGTTGCTACTTCTTTCTCCCCTGTCCCTTGCTCCCTACTTGGCCTGTTTGACATCACAAGGTCTTTTATTGTCCAGTTTTTCCAGTGTGCTGTAATCCCTGGGGCAGGGGCTTTGTCAATGCTGCCTTCCCCAGTGCCCAGAACAGTATTGCCATTGAGCTTTCACAGAGGAGTCAGACCCAGTGTGGCAGTCTACAGGGAGATGGCTGGTTATGTGAATGGGTCACCACGGACAGGAGGCCAGGGGTCTTCAGGCCCAGAGAAGGCCCCTGACCTCACCGGGACCGTGGCAGAGACAGGAAGTCAGAGGCACAGCCTGGCCTTCTGATGGTTCTCCTGTTACCTGTGCCTCCACAGCAGTCAGCTTGTGGGTCTGAGCCGTGGTCTGGTTCATGAGGTTGGCACCCAGTGACAGCATGGTGGTTGTCTGGTTCTGAACCGGGTGCTGCCCGGCCTGTGCCAGGTTTGACCTCAGGTTCCTCTGGATGGACTGCTCCAGCTGTAGGGAGACAGAGGGCTGCAGTGACAGGGTAATGGCTGGGAGAAGCCTCCTGTCACTCTCTTCCACAAAGCTCCATGGCAGAGCACAGAGCAGCAGCTCGGGGTAGACATTTGGTTGAGACTGCGCCATGTCAGGCCACTGTTCCTCTCTCCTGCTTCCCCCACTGGCCTCTGTCTTAATTCTTGTCTGTCCGCCCTGGGCAGCCAGAAGGGTCCTATTGGAACTAGGTGAGCCATACCCCTCCTTTGTCTGCATCACCCCAGGGTTCCCATTTTACAGGAAAAGCTAAAAACCTTGATTTGAATTTCCTCAGTAGCCAGCCCACCCTCCTCCCATCCTTCCTTCATCTCTCACTGTGCTCCAGAGGCCAGGCCTCCACTCATCCCTCCTATACAGCCATGCAACCCACCTTAGGGCCTTTGTACATGCTACCCCCAACTCTGTCCCCTCACACGGCTCAGTCCCTCATGTCACTTCATTGACACCACACACTTATCATCCCTTAGTTTCATGACAAGCATCTCTTTTTATCTTTCTCACCCTCCAGAATGTCAACCACAGGAATCCAGGGATACAATCTTGCTCAATATTTTCGTCTCCACATCTAACACAGCACCAGGTATACAGTGGGTACTCAATAATTGTGTCCAAGGAAGTGATAGGAAAGGGGATGCAGCAAG